AGATGGGTATCCATGAAGCTGTAGCAATTACTTTCTGGGCTACTTCCTTTCTTGCCATGCTTGTTGAAGAGAGTAGAGATGTCGGTCATTGATTGTGTGTGATTCATGTCACCCCTTTTTAAAATCCTTTTAAAAAAATTACATCAAAATGAGACCCGATATATATGTGACTTGGTTCTAAGTTTTAGACCGATTTCTAAGATCCGATTGTTTCTTAAGATTTGTTCAGTGTTTAAAGCTAGTTTTCTATATATTATAGTCCAAGAATAGGCTAGTCCGAGCCAATTTAGAGCCTTGTTCAATTTTTAGTCTGACAGCTGGTTGTCCTTGTACTATATTAATAGGATATAATACATGTGGTTGTTAACTCCGCATTCACTGAGTGAGGTCAAATCTCGAGTTAGTGTTCTGTGTTAGTGTTAACACCAACACATGACACGACATTTGAACTCATTCTTCGTGTTAATATTGTATGTCTGGTGTTACGCGAATCTAATATTACATTTTCATTAACACCATATAAACAATATTTCTAAAAATTGTTCTTGCATTGTTTTGTTTCTTCAACTCACTCGATGAGGACCACGAGAGTGGCCGCATTCGGGGCAGTGTCGGCGAGCGCAAGGTGCTTAGCGAGGAGTTCCCTGTGCTTAGGGCGGTTTAGGCTGGCGGGGTGTTTTGTGGGAAGCCAAGCGTTCTTAGCGACGTTGCTTTTTAATTCGCGGAAATACCGATAAATGAGGAAGTATTTCATAATGAAAGTGGTATCGGGTGTCAAGAATGGTAAGCATCTCTTGCATGGCCTGGGCGTTGAATTCGAATGATTACACCGTCAATATAGATTATGATATCTTTGTTATTACCATCAACATCTCTAACAGTTAAATTAGCGTATTCCTCTGGGCGTGGTAGTTTGATGAATCTTGGAGCAAAGCTTAAAAAAGAATTGGCAACCTCATGGACGTATAACAAGGTAGTAGTTTTAGCTACGGCACTGGAAAAACCACCTGAAGCCAGATATACTAAAATGTCTGCGTGCGTTTTTGAAAAACACGCATTTGTTTCCTTGCTGGGTCTCGAACTCTATAATCACGATACTCAGCCGATAACTCATCTAATTCATGTTGATTCACCCGGATATGACGTACAAACGGTTCCGCACTTGTAGCAGGATGCCTTTCCAAATTGTTGCCTCTATTTTGTACAGCAATAGCTTGAGCATTTAAATGAAATAAAATGGCTGCTAACACCAACACTAAACTTGAACTCATGCTCGTGTTAATACCCAAGAGATTAGTGTTAGCGCAGAATTTCTAAATCCATTTTTAGACTCATTTCAGACGGGAATCGATTAGAATTTAAGTACCGAATGTCAAATTGTAAAATAAAACCGATTGCCAAAAGAAATTTCATAATTATGTCATTTTCACCCGCAAATAATGTCTTAAGGTAACCCCTGAAATCGCATTTTCGATATTAAGACTAACACGAAGGAGAAATCGTGTTAATACGATGCTTAACACCATGTTGATAATTTTTATATGAGGGCTAACACGGAACACCAGTATGAGGTCAAGTCTTTCGGACTAACATCAAATAAACCGCGTTAAGAAATAATAAACACGTTCAAATAAAGCTTTAATATACTATATCACATCATCAAATATATTTTAGAAATTTTAATTAAGGCTAAAAATCCATACAGATCGGTTCTGTGTGATATTTAACATCCAAGAAATCATACCTATAGTAAGCTCGTGTTACACACTCCGTGTTAATATCCAACTACAATGGGTGAGTGTTAACACCAACACATGACACGACATTTGAACTCTTTCTTCGTGTTAATATTGTATGTCTGGTGTTACGCGAATTTAATATTACATTTTCATTAACACCATATAAACAATATTTTGTGTCTCCCTTAAGGTGACGAAAGGAGAGCTCTATTTTCACTGCTTCCCGCAAGAGGTGTCAGAAAAGTTACCACAGGGATAACTGGCTTGTGGTAGTCCAGCATTCTTAGCGACGTTTCTTTTTAATTCGCCAAGCGTTGGATTGTTCACCCACCAACAGGGAACGTGAGCTGGGTTTAGACCGTCTTGAGACAGGTTAGTTTTACCCTACTGGTAGGGGTTTAGTCCGTCTTGAGACAGGTTAGTTTTACCCTACTGGTAGGGAACTCTTTATGAACGAGTGACTACGAGAAGATAGGACTGACTAGTACAAGAGGAACGAACGTTGGTTAGGAATTGAAAGCGTTGATGTTTGCTGGTTTATTTCCATTGAGGCCTTCCCTTTGTGTGAGTCGTACTCGGTAGAGCGGCCTGTAGTGGCTGCGATGCAGCTAGACGGACAGAGCTCTCTAATTTATTTTCCTGATTTATTGTGTGCTAAGCGAATTAAAACATACCTACTTTTCATTTGAATTGTGTCTTCTGCTGCTGTCTTAAATTGTGTCCCCCAGGTTGGAGAAATTCGAAAGGAAGGGAGGGGGAGGGGAAAGACCAGAGTATGAACCCATGTTCGATGTTTTTGCAGTTAAAATAAATGAGACAAACCCCCCCCCCCCCCCCCCCCCCCCCCCCCCCCCTTCTGGTGAAGTGTGTATCTCTGAGACCGATCGCAGTGCTTGGAGAAATTTTCCTGGTGTGCAAAGCCACGTTTGGACATACCAAGTTTGTTCAGACTGGACGTTGTTTCGAGTGGGCGTTCCCTTGGTAGAACGGCAGGACAATCTGATAGAAAGTACATTTAAAACATCCCTAAACTAATAGGCCTACTATGAAAACTAATGTAAGCCTATCTAACTTTATTGTTTTTGTGTTTTTATCATAGTAATAGCAATAATAAAACTTAATCTACCAACGATCCGAACCGCAAAACAAAAATCAAATTCCATAAAATCATATTGTCAAAACATTGGTAGGAGCTAATGAATTTTTCATATGCGGAAATATATCAATAAATGAGGAAGTATTTCATAATAAAAGTGGTATCATGTGTCAAGAATGGTAAGCATGCCCTGCTTGGAAATATATCAATTAATGAGAAAGTATTTCATAATGAAAGTGATATCAGGTGTCAAGAATGGTAAGCATACCCTGCTTTGCCCCACACCCGCGAGGTAAAAACAAAACTTAGTGTTATATGCACTCTAAGTAAGGCTAAATTGATATACGCAAGAAGTGAACAGGAGTGATCATGTCCTTTTCGCTTGAGATACACGCCTCAATAACACACAGTTAACATTACATTACAAGCAGAGATTGTGTAAAGGGGTGTTGTCAAGGAAACTGTACGTATTATTCTATTTATAGTTTTACGTTAGATATTTGAAATATTCCCTACTGGGACTTCGTTAAATGGACATTCTGGAGGATTTTTTCTCATTACAAGATAAAATACTATAGCTCGATATCGAACACGTTCAATATTAATAGTAAGTAGTTTGGCATTTTTTGTAGCCAAAGTACATACATTATTCAAATTTAGGGAGTTTCGAGTGGGCGTTCCCTTGGTAGAACGGCAGAATAATCTGATAGGAATTACCTTTAGAACATCCTTAGATGCACGTGACCTAAAACACACATGCAACCTGTAAATTTTGACCCAATTCATTTAATTGATTGAAATCTAAGTTAGAATCAGTGTTTAATGATGGCGATAGGTGTGGCTCCAAAGAGTTATATATGGACATCAGACAAGCTGAAAACAATGCTGACAATTGTATTAGAGAATAATGGAAAGTTTGTTAAGCTCCGGAAAGGAGGTAAATCGTTTGTTGGAGAACAGATGCTTCCACCCACGGATGGTTCAGTGGTGGAAAATGTGATGTAACATGGGCCGCAAGTTTCGTGATATTATCAGGAAAACCAAAGAATCAGGTCAAGGCACAGAAGATGTTGTTCCCAAATTAAGGTGTTCCGAAACAGTATTCACGCTTTACCAGGATTATTTGGATTTGTATTTTCCAAATGGAAGTAATGTGAAACCAATGGCTGTAATGACAGAGAAGGGGGTACAACAGACAGTCAGATCTACATCAGTATCCAAAAGTGCTTCATCTTCAGCTTCATCATCACCCAAATCTCCACCACCAAAAAAACAGAAACAGAACACGCAAAGAAATATTTGGAAACCTCTACCGATCAGCAACAGCAGTATCTCCAATTGATGTCACAACAGACGGAATTAATGGCAGCTATGCACAATGAACTGAAGATGATACGAATGGGGTTTATGACTGTGCATAATTTAGAAGTAGTTGAACATTTAGGTTTTGTTTCGCAAACACCTAACCCAGATTAATCTACAAATACAGTAAACAGAAGGAAATATAAATTTCATGTTTCCTATTTTTCTAAATAAATACTCTAGTAATTTTCTTGAATTTCAGACAAAGACACATGTCACATATTTTATTATTTTATGGGTATCAAAAAATGTATTTTTTTTATTTTTTATTTGTTAATGAAATGTGTTGTGTATTAATGAATATATCAATTAAATCTTATTAGCTAGCTGCGTATATTATAAAGGGGGTGGTGAGTTGACAATCCCAGAGTGGTGTCAGGTGTTCGGAAAGTATGTACTATCGTGCTTCGCTAAGGAAGAAAAGCCTTGTCCATTAGTCAAGCCCATTGGACTATAAATATAAGTAAATGCATTACTGAATACATATTGGGGCATATATTAGCTATTTTGCACTGATATGTTGACAAACATGGTCCAGGAGGAATGTTCTACTTATTGTACAGCATTGACGTGTAGGACTACATTTTGGACACCAATCGTTGCCGTTGATGATTAATTTCACACCGTATTGGATATCATTGATTATATTTATTACAAAAAATGTGTGTAACGATTGTGAAGAACACATACAGCGATGGAACATATTGATGCTAAATTTGGTCCTTTTTGGCAGCAAATCTGTTTTCTTTCATCTGAGTCATCCTCCATTTTAATTCTGTGGCACCTATAGTTCTCTCTACAATTTATCTCTGCCGTGTGCAAGTGTCGTTAAATTGCATTTGTTGTTGGTTCAGATTCGCGCCAGTAAATGTGTGCATCACAGATGGGTGTAAATTACGATAAGAAGGGTCACCTAAAACAACGACGTCGTTCGGTAGTGTGTGCAGATACTGCATGAATTCGGGAGACCATTCTGCTACAATTTTATCGAGGGTTGAACCAGGTAGTCCAGATATGACATGTCGAATCCTTCCGAATTTATCACAAACATACTGGACATCAATAGAGTCACATGATTTTCCATGTCGTCCACAATAATAAGCATCTCCTGCATGGTCTGGGCGTTGAATTCTAATGATTACACCGTCAATATAGAGTATGATATCTTTGTTATTACCATCAACATCTCTAACAGTTGTTGTTAAATTAGGATATTCCTCCGGGCGTGGTAGTTTGATGAATCTTGGAGCAATGCTTAAGAAAAAATCGGCAACCTCATGGACGTATAACAAGGTAGAAGTTTTAGCCACGCCAGTGGAAAAACCAACATTTCTGTAATAACCCCCTGAAGCCAGATATACCAAAAATGTCTCCACGTGTTTTTGAGAAACACACATTTGTTTCCAACTCTAAAATCATGATACTCAGCCGATAACTCATCTAATTCATGTTGATTCACCCGGATGTGACGTTCAATCGGTTCCGCACTTTTAGCAGGATGCCTTTCCAAATTGTCGCCTCTATTTTGTACAGCAATAGCTTGAGCAACCGATATAAAAATACTTTTAATGAAATAAAATGGCTGCTAACACCAACACTAAACTTGAACTTATGCTCGTGTTAATACCTTAGAGATTAGTGTTAGCGCAGAATTTCTAAATCCATTTTTAGACTTATTTCAGACGGGAATCGATTAGAATTTAAAAATTAAAATAAAACCGATTGCCAAAAGAAACTACATAATTATGTCATTTTCACCCACAAATAATGTGTTCAGGTAACCCCTGAAATCGCATCTTCGATATTAACACTAACACGAAGGAGAAATCGTGTTAATACGATGCTTAACACTATGTTGATAATTTTTATATCAGGGCTAACACGGAACACTAGTATGAGGTCAAGTCTTTTATATATATTTGAGAAATTTTAATTAAGGCTAAAAATCCATACAGATCGGTTCTGTGTGATATTTAACATCCAAGAAATCATACCGATAATAAGCTCGTGTTACACACTCCGTGATAATATCCAACTAAGGTGTTAGTGTCCAAATTCGGTATTAACATCAGTGTTAACACTAACACGGAACACTAACACGGGATTTGACCTCACCCACTGTCTGTAGTCTAGTACATTGGTGCAGGCCTAGCCTAGTGCAACTGAGGTCACAGTCTCTAGCCTTATATTATTAAATAAATTTACCCTTCCCTTTGGCAGTCGTTGACCTCTCTCTTTAACAAGCAATTTTTCATTCACACACTACAAGTTTGGGATCTGCAAGTTATCGACCGTTAGGCCTATCCCTTGTAGAGACATAGCACCAGACTCAGCCTCAATTAATTTCCGGTGCTGCAAGAACTAAAGGCCAAGGATGGAGTTCATATGATGAACAGTTCAGATGAAAGAAAGAATCATGCCCTACTAGCTCCTGGCGATATATTGACTACTTATGGCTATTGCATATGCATAACTCAGTCAAACAAGGGCAACCCCTTCAAAATAATACGATACAATTCCCACGAGGAAAATGCTTTGGTTTCAACAACAAAGGTATTTGCAATAAACCTCATAGCTCATACCTTCACAATTCCATTCAATGTGGAATTGGACATTCTGATTTGAGTTCTTATAATATCCCACCCAATCACAGACAAGAATATAAAAAACAACCGTAGCATAACGCCAACAACAACAAAACGAACGCCCAATGGAACACACCATCAAACACTCAGCAACCACACTTCAATAACAAACCCAACAACCAGTATAACTTCAACAATGAAAACCAAAACCAATCTAGCAACACAAATAACAAAAACTGAAGAGATACCCAATAAATAGGAGTTAGCAAAGTCACCTTTAAATACTAATGTGATCTGAAATTGCCACATGTCTGTCTGTTGTCCGTATTCCAGAGGAAACAACAAAAGAACTCAAAACCTTGATTGAATCCTTTCTCAGTCTTCTTAAAGAAATGCCACCCATGGATCTCTAATTGTCTTATACAGGGCCATACGGCCTGGGAGAGCTCTTAAGGCGTTTTTATGATACAATGATTAATATTAGAAAAGCTCATTATTTTACCAGCTTTAAAAGAGATATTAAATCGACTTGATGGTTTGGTTGAACTTTCTACAAAACTTTAATGGTGTTACATAATTACCCAGAATACTTGGTTCTCAAATGATATTTTAAGTCTATATAGTGACAGTGTTGGCTCTCATATTCTTGGTATAGCGGTATTATTTTCAATGGCCTAAATTTTGGAAAAATCAGCCAATCATGTGTGACATTACCTTTCTAGAGCTAGTTCCTGTAGTTCTATCTCTTATTTTTTGGGGAAAAAACAAGCCAATTAAATTTCGTATTGACAATGAAGCTCATGTGTATATCCTTAATCCCAGACTTCGAAAACAAAGAGAGTTTTATATTATGAAGTACAATATTCATTTCAAGGCGATATATATTATTAATAATAATATAGCTGATTCTATTTCTCGACAGGAGTGGACGAGATTCCGACTTTGCCCCCAGTTACGCAAATATCTTTGCCCCCTCCCCCTTTTAATGGCTTTAGTTCAATACCGTGTGGAGGTTCTGTGTGTCGTACCTGCGAACATACCTGTTTCTCATTATTTTCATAATAAAAGGACTGGAAAAATCTTCATCGTGAATGACTATGTGTATCGTGAGGTATATTTATTGATATAATTTGGTTTGAGGTTAGCCAAAGTCTTTGAAACAAGGTTGATTGTTTTGCTTACAGATGGTTGTGAGGTAGAACACAGATTCCCAACAGCCAACTGAAACACGCCGGTAGCATAATACCTCAATGCAATAAATAATAGCGCATGACTACGATTTGTGCATCTGGACAATTGATTTGAAAGTAAGTTTAAAAGAACATGAAAAGTAGGTTTACGTAATCGAAATATTTTTCGAAATTCTAAATCATTATCCATATCAAATGGATTGTCCCTCTCTCTAAAAATGCGTTCCACGTCCCAATGCCCGTCTTATATAATTAATATGGTTAAATCTTACTAGTGTTTGGTATGATGGTATTCAGAAAAATTTCGAAACTATGTAGAAACTAGTCTTAAGATTTAAATAGATTTTAAAAGCTATCATGAGGAGGACTAATTTTCAACACTTGAGGCAGTAGACACTTTTCCAGCATAGATTCAGCAACCATTGTTTACATTCTGATGAGCTTCATTCTGGCGATATGTTCTTCTGTTTAAAATTTATTTTCGAATCATGTTCCTCAGTTGACATATTCGTGATAGAGGTTTCTATATCAGTCTTCATAATTTTGTTGATAGAACTATCAGATGCAGTCGAAGAGTGGCGCCTGAAATGACAATCAAAAATAGTAAACAAAAAATTGAAAGGAAACTCTCCAGCCTCCGTTAGTCAGTTACAAAACGACAGCAAGATAGTTAATAGGGCTATTTCGACATAGTTTTTGTTGATAAGTACTAGAGCCTTATTCTAGATTCACTCGCAATTTCATTTCGCAGTTACACGACTACCAGTATCAATATCTTATAGTGGTGTAGCTTTGAAACCAAAAATTGTGAAACATAACGGCTCGGGAATTGATTTAAACCTATAAGCATCTCATACAAATTTGTACGACCATTTCCCCCGAGAACAATTTCATGTTGCGACGTAGGTTTTTAACGGGAAATTACAAAACGTTCTTGTCCTTGCTAGTGGTTGACTAGAAGGCAATAGAACATTGAAAGAGATTGTGAAACATATAACAAGAAACAGATCATGCCCCGTTTCTCAAAAGATCGTAAGACTTAAGACTAAACTTACGACTGTCTTAAGTTTACGATTACGTGCGTTTCTCAAAGACTATCGTAAGTGTCACGAATAATCTTACGATAAAAATTGCCACACGATCGAGTTGCTGAGCATGCGCAAAACAGACTTAGTAGCACAAAACGTCTTTGGAAGGCGAGGCGACAAGGAAAACGAATTGTTCGAAAAATCAAGTAAATGTTTTCGTCAAAGAGGTTACTGCATAGCCTATGAACCTTTATCTCTGGTAAAAGGAAAATTTTTCATCCTTATTAACATTTTGGCAAGACCGTTTTCCAAGGGACAATTTTTACGGGCGAGGCGAAATTATTCATTGTAATTCAAGGCGTGAAAAAATTTTGATTTCCAGTTAATGAAACTTAATGATGACGTTATTCCTGTTTTGACGTCATCGTCGAAGCGAAAAAAATGGTGGCTTTCAACTGAGACGAAGGCGAAAAATCGAGAAGGTGGTCAGTGCCATGCTCAGTCAAAGACACTTAGGGATCAAATCTGATGTCAAAATTTCCCTTTTTACCATAAATTAGTTATTTATTGCGAAAAAAAGACCATTTGGTTCTACCACCTGATAGTTACGACAGCTTTGACCACTCGTAAGTTTACATGAATTAGTCGTAAACTTACGATAATTTTGATTTTACGATTTTTTGAGAAACGCCATTTACGATCAAATCAGCACTTACGACCTACGATTGATCGTAAGATTTTTTGAGAAACGGGGCCTCAGTGAAACACCTTATTATAATTTTTACCTATTTGTTGTACAAAGAAAACATGGTTACTAGTTTGAATAAAATTGCTACAGACCCAAAAGTTATAATGTAAAGAGTGCTCAATGAACAAGAATTTTCCAATACTCACTTCCTTTTAACACTGCTAATGAGAACTTCTTCCTCTACGGACACGTTAATTGGAAAAATTAAGTTATCATTGGTATTTACTTCTACATTTGTATTCTATTCAAGACATCTGTTGGTTTACTAACTGTGGTCAACTTAACCAATTCTTCAACACCATTGTTACTTCTTCAGCTTCTTCATCATAAGGATTATGGTGTTGTTCTAATTCATTTGGAATCAGATCCTTAATTCTTAGGCAAAAAATCATATAATGGTTCAGGTCGGTGGCCGCCTCCTGTTCTTTTCAATTCCTTATTATACATTTAAATTCTTTTTCGACAATGTCCTTAAGCCTATTCCACATCTCTTTAATTGTTTTGCGGGTCGGGTCTTACCATGTATTAAACATAATTTATTGATAGACTATCTTCCAAGCTGTTTATTTACGTTCTGTTGCTGTGCCCTCTGTTTTTATCTTTTATTTATTTTACATAAAAAACTTACATCGTTTGGTATTCTTCTCCTCGCTCCAATTTGCCACTCTTTCTCTCTTTTGCTCTTTTATTAATTTTGTTTATCCCTTACCTAAATTAGTGCTTTCTGTTAGGGGCCCCACACAACAAAGAAGAAAAAACAGTGCTTATCACTGATTGAATATAATCACCGACTAAGAATTTTTTTAAATATTGATTAGCTTAATCAGCCCCAAAAGTAGCCAGCGTTCGAGAATACGGGCCTCAGTCTTTAACACTTTCATTATTATTGATATTATTTTAAAATTCGAATATTTCCTTAGGAATGTTCACATCATACAGAAAAGTTTTCAGTTTTTTATAAATAAATCGTAAATTTTTTTTTTTATGTTTTCTGTATGAAAAATCTCAAAACTTTTTAATCCCTTTTTTTCCAACTTCTCTTTTAAATTTACATAATGATTCAAATGTTCACTATGATATCTTTTATGCGATTCTATAACACTTAATATCAAATCCCATAATGTTATCACTTTCCTCAACTGAAAAAAAGAAAGTACAAAATATATACAGTGGTGTAACCTATTTTCGTGGATATAAGGATTCAAGACCGAATTTCGACAAAGTTAAAAATACGAAAAAAAAAAACTTTTATGTCTTAGATGTTTCCTCAGATATTCTACAAAATAATTAAAATTGGTTTGTTTCGATTTTCTTTATAAATCTCTCGCTTTAACCCATATTTCATGAGCAACCAACTCGCCAACGGCGACAGAATGCGTCACCTATTTTCGTGTACAACGTTTGGCCTATAAATAAGTCTAGAAAAACACGTCGTATGGAACCGGGTGGAATAATTAACTTCTCTTAGTATTTATCTTTAATATCAATTCATTATAACTAGTGAAAATTCCTTGAAAGAACCACGATTTAAAAAAAAAATAGTGACTGACAAAATAAGACACGTAGCGTGATTTATTGCTAAAAGTCACTGAAACAACATAAGAATATGGCCCACTTTGTGTTCCATAGACATTTTGCTGCTGACACGGAATCCGCTAGTTGATCACGTGACTTCATTCGTTGGACTACATGGATAAAAAATGGTGACGTTTGGTAGTAACTGAAATCCGCCATTTTGTAGTTGTCAAAGTATACATAGATACATTTTAGCTTGCTTGAAACTACTGGATTCATTCTACTAGCTGACATTGTACAGAAAACCCATGTTTATCAAAACAAGCAAATGCAGAGGACACGCGAGGTCGTACTTGTAAACTATTAATCCTTTCCGGAAATGCACGAAAAATAGGTTAGCACGAAATTAGGTTACTTGACTGTATATATACAATCTTTGCTTATTTACAAAATAATATTACCAAAGATTATATTATCTAGTGGTGTAACCTATATTCGTGCTTATAAGGATTCAACAAAATTAAAAAACGCAATTTTTTTATGTCTTACAAGTTTCCTCAGATATTCTACAAAATAATTACAATTGGTTTGTTTCGATTTTCTTTATGAATCCCTCACCTTGACCCATATTTCATGAGGAACCAACTCGACAATGGCTGCCAAATGCGTCACCTATTTTCGTGTATAATGTTTGATCTATAAATAAGTCGAGAAAAACACTTTGTATGCATACCTTGCTTGAAACTACTGGATTCATTCTACTAGCTGTAGAAATAACCCATGTTTATACGAATACGAAGGTCACGCGAGGTCGGAAATGTAAATTATTAATCATTTCCGAAGATGCACGAAAAATAAGTTAGCACGAAATTAGGTTAGTTGACTGTATTCCAGTACAATATAAACTGTCGACAAAAATCATATGTATTATACTCTTATAAAAGTTTGTCCTTTATTAAATTCATATAACATACCTGTCTCCGAAGTTTTTGAACCCATTGATCTATTTCCTCACATATATTTTCCATATTTTCCTCTGCCATATTGAAACGAAGAGGTTTTAAGCTGTAATTCACAGATGAGACTTTAGTTGTATTTGTATTGAATTATACTTAGAGTAAGATTTTCATTAAGGTGTGTTCTCCTTTTTAAAAGAGTATATATTAAAGCTGTTTTCGCCTCTAACCGAAATAAAATATGTGCTTTACATAGTATTGTCAAATTTTAGGATCGTAGAAATGTCAAAATTCAATTGGCAGGAAATTTTAATAACGTAAGTATTATAGAATCAAATTTTAAAATGACATAAAACATTTAATTATTGTTTGTAATCTTCCAAGATATTTTTGATTTTGGATTCAAAAAAGCTCAAAGCAAGAATAATTATCTATGTTCAGCTCAAAAATAAATTGATAAAATGATAATGAAACAGTCTATAAGCTAGACATTTATTTATATTATTATGATCACAGATTATCAGAGTTACTATCAAATATTTTTTTTAAGAATTGTGTGTTAATAAACGTACACTGGAAATTGATCGAATTCATATAAATGTGTCGAGGTTCTAAACAAATCAAAAAGGATGATATATTGAACAATTGATGCATATGACGTTCTGTGCGAGTGCACTAATTGTTTTGAAGAAGACGACTCTATTTTTTATGTGATACGAAGTTTATTTTGACATATTTTTACAGCCATTTCCTTGACCATGTTTCCAACTGATTGCGGTGGTACGTAGGTTAACTTTTGTGGAAATTCGTTGGCTATATCGTGGTTTTTCCATGTCAAATAATGAAGTCCTCGCCATGTTGCCATCATACGAAAATGTCGGTTTGTTTCAGGCCAATATATCGGGTATAATTCAATCAAACCTGAATGGTTGGGAAGAAACAGAGTGTGAGATAGTCCAGCACCATGCATTCCGATCAAAATATCTGTTTTAGATACGATTTTCAATTGTTTTTGCATTGGTAACTTGTCAAGTTGCAGCGCCTTAATATTATGACCCGGAAGTAATTTTGAAACATGGTCGACTAACTCTTCTTCATTTTTAATCTTACGAGACACGAGTCCTGAAGGATTGCGGGGATGTGCAACATAATCTCTTCTCCAGATAAATAACACTGACAGATTATCACAATCCAGTGTTTTTGAAATACTTTCTACGTTATGCTGTTTTACAAAGAAATTACGGAAATCGTTTAAATAAGGCACAAAAGTTAGCTCATGATTGTTCAAGGGGCTATTATATCCGGGAATTCCCCAAATCAGATTTGAAAATAATGTCTTTTGTCTTAAGGCACCGGCCCTGTAGGTATGTTTAAAAAGGCTATCCCACGTATCGTCTAAACCACCATATGGATGTCCATCAATGAAGAGAATGTTGACGTTTTCTGGGCGTTTTTGAAACAATAACATAACAAGAAAAGCGTTATAGTAATCCGTCATGGTATGATATAAATTAACGTATTCATATCTTTGTATAGCTATCGTCATTTCAGGTATGACATTAGAAGAGGCGTGACGTACCTGATCATTAGAACAAACATAAGATCCCATCCAGTCATTTAAATGACTATTCGGTCTATTGAAAGGCTTAGCCAACACTTTTTCACACCGAAGTTTAAAATATGATTGTTTAAGTTTGAGATATTCGGAATTCTCTTCTTGGTTCCAAACTAAAGTCATATTTTCGCCACCGCGATGTCCTTGAGCTTGATCCGGATCTAAAATGACGTTTTGTAGTTGAGCGAATTCTCTTCCAAATATAACGAAATTCCCTGTTTGGTCACTTATGCGATCCTGGAGCCAGCTGCACACATAATTCGGTTGCGCCATATTTTTCAAGATGTCTTTTGAGCAAGGGTCAAACACCATCCAGTGGTCATGACGAGGATGAATTTCGTATAGTGAATAATTGTTATTTCCGTAGTATCTTCCGTATTTTAAAAGCTTTTCATGGAAGATATCGAATATGAATATACTTAATACAATGTTTAGAGTAATAAATAGTAAAATATATTTTTCATATCGAATTCGACGGATTATTCGAAAAACCTTCATTGCACACGATTATTTTGTTGGTTGAATTGATTTTCCGGGGTTGTCCAAACTGGCAATGTCACGTATGAAAAGACACAGTTCTCACGATGTTAAAATATTACACATCACCTGCTGAGAAAACCTTCTGTCATCTTTCTCTGAATAGACCTAAAAGAAAATCTATAACCTTTTATTATCAAATCTATTAGTATTTAATAACCTTCACCTGGAGATCTGATTATGCTGTTATTTATGATATATAGTAAAACATGTGAAAAGATATTGATATTTTTGAATGCGTTACCAGACAAGAGACAGTTTGCACAGAGTCGGTTAAACCACTAAACTTATTGAGGAATATTACCCAATAAAATAAGTCCAAAGTAATTGGATTGTTGATTTTCTTGTGATTTCGATAATTTACAGAATGAAAAAATGTCGTGTATGAATTTTTGACAATTTTGTTTTTGTAAATAGTTCAATGCTCATCACGAGTTTGATTGGAGCTCCACGGTAAATATTATGAAATATTTTACTTTCCAAGAAAATGTTGTCCCATTCTGCGATTGAGTCTACCCGACTTGTCTTTGGGACCATCCACATGTTTAATAATTGGAATTACAATGACTAGTGAAATAGGCTGAACTAAGACTATTACTCAACCGATTATCTATAAGTTCTATGTAAGCTGAAAAATATATCGCTTTGGGTTATGCTTATTTTCCTTTTTGGAACACCAAGTACCACCTCTGACTGGGTTTGACTCCTTTTGAGGATCCACACAGGTAATTATTTCCTTTCGGGTTACATATTTATATATAAGGGATGAATTGAATTTGAATTTTAGTAACAGTCTATCATTTGGTCAATTTTAATAGAAGGAACTTTGATTTTTAAAAAAAGATAAAGGTATAGGACAAATTCATAGAGTCTGTGCCTCTCTGACCTGTTTTTGTGACAAATTGGTGTTTTTGAAATTCGTATAACGCCATATTTTACAATTATTTGCAAAGTTTAATGACCTAACTCAAGAGTCAAAAAATATTTCCTTGGAAATTCGTGACAATTTAGATGTCGAAGGTGTAGCTTTCAAAAATAAGCCAACAGACCTACATACATCTTAACCAACAACCAAAATCAAAGTTGATGTTATTAGCTTAGATCTGAGAACAAAAGAGTTAGTTATGAACACAGTATAAGTCTGATTTACATTGTCCCAATTGCTACTTGTTTAACCATTAATAAAATTGTTTTGAATCGTATCTAGACGGTATTAATACATTTCTGTGCTTGACTATATTAGACTAATTTGAATGTGATGTGCAAGTGCATAAGATTTTATTTAATTAAACTATGAGGCTTGAATTCAAATCGAATTACCTTATATAAGTGGATATCAACTATATCTATATCCTATACGTTCATTAGTTGTGTTTTATCTTTATATGGCCCATATAAATTATAAAGATAGCGTATGGGGGCAAGGTCTAAAACTAAAAGGCCAAACTGATAAGTCTATCGAATGGAAAATGCTCAAATAAGGAAATAAACGGGTGGAGTTACCCGCTACATTATAGTTTGGTTGACATAATATGTATCTTTTGTTTCGTTGTCCGTTTTCTAGTGCCAAACTGCATTAACCTTGGTATATTTAATTTAATAATATCATTCGATTTTCACTAAGAATCGACATTGATGCAGGCAACAAATTACGATCTTGATATCCTGCGTCTTTAATGTCTTGTAGATTTCGGCTATATACCCCCAACACCCACCATTAACACATTTGGTTCTCGCTTTTTGGGATGTATGCATGACTGAAATACACGTTTACCAAACTTGAAATCTGATTTCAATATTTCATTTTGTTCATTTTCGTCGATGTTATTTTAACATTGTTCAGAGCTGTCTGGTCGAAATTAGGAATGGTGCAAATCTCGATACACATAAAACTTCTTTATAATCCCTTTGACCATATAAGTGTGTTATGTATTGTGTGTGGCATATTTCTTTTATATAATTTGATTATTATTTTTCTTTTGTCGGGAAAATGAGAGAAAGAAAAAAACATGAGTGATAAATATATACATTCTTCAGAAAGCGATGAAACCCACACTACTCTTGTATTAGGGAGAGTAAGGAGGTTTTAGCTATATTTGTCTACTGATATAAATGATAATTGTGGTGAAGCTTGATGATCGGTTCAGTTTTAAATATGGATTGATATTAAGTGATAGTAAATACTTCTTATCAGTATTCGATTTGCACAGATAAGGTTTCTGTATTGTTGATAATGTCGGGTCATGTCACTAAATAATGACCCATTTCGACAAAATGGCTTCTTAATATACAGATGATGATTTTGTGATAATGAGAACATGGTCTTAGAAGTTTTGCGGTCTATGAAAATGAACTTAGATTGCTTCGTTTGTAGCATTTACTACTTTATGTGTATAATATTAATAAAAAAAAACCCAATTAAAATCCCGAAAGTATGATTAATATGCAGACTGGTGGTTTTATATCTGACAACAATTTTGTCTCTCCTTGTCAGTATCTTAATTCATTTGGATATAGAATTTTTTTTGGATAAGTCTATAAATGATTTTTTTTATCTCTCTCGTTTTTATACGCCCACAATATAATGTGGTTGTATATTGTTGTCGTCCCTGGCCGTCCGTCGGTCTACAATTCGCTTTTGAACACAATGAAGACTACAGTTTTATCTGATTTTTATGAAATTTTGTCATTTATATCAATGATATCTGGGTAAAGTTTAATTTGACGATTTTTTGATGAACGATTTACGAGTTTTAGCCCTTGAATGAGTAAAACCGTGTCAAAATTGTTTATGAAAACTATAGAGACTACAGTTTCCATCTGATTTTAACACTCTTATGCATGAATTAAGAAAAAAGTTCATTATTATTTTTTGTGTGTGTTTTATGGTACAGAAGGGTTAAAATTAATCATATATTGACTTGTTTTAAGTCATATGTTGTTGGTTACCCTGTCCTCATTTGAAGACATATGCATTTGATGTATACTATATATACTATTTTCGTAAGATGTCATAGATAAATAGAGCACACCCTAACATTTTATGAGATTATTAAAGGTATTGAAGATTTTAATTTTGAAGATACATAATCTGAAATGAACTTTTCGCATCAAACAAATTGCCAAGTATAAAAGATGAAATCTCATGTCAGCCTAATCTGCGGGTTAAAAATGCCAAGATTGTGTACAAAATAGGGGGTTATTTTTTTAACAATCAAATTCATAAAAACTAAAATCATGTAATCATTTTAATTTTTTTTAATTGTTAATGTAAACAAACTCGGTCTTAAAACAAATCATAAATTTACATTTCATTGATAATCTAATCAAATTCTAATTTCTAAATCAGAAAGACACTAATACATGTTTACTCAAATTTCATTGTTTATTCGACACAATTGGAATGTCACAAATTATGCGTGTTATCGTCGGCGATGTAAAAAGCTCCATACAATCAGGACATACCTGTTCTTTACACTTAACATAACAGAACCTTGTGTTAGAACTACAGCCTTGATAATGACAACAAAGTGCATTTTTATGTCTGATGTATGCGACCAAGGACCAGAATGTTTTTCAAAGCGCACTTCAGGTGGTGCTCTATTTGCATGTCTAGACTTTTTCATGCCATCAGTTGGTGAAAATGGCGGTCGACCTGGGTGCTTCAGACTGCACAACAGCAACACTGTATTGATTAGTGCTCTTCCAACAGAAACCTTAAATTCCAAAAGATCGACATGAGGTGCTAATTTGCGATGAAGAAGCCAGGAATTAGCAATGCAGACATTTACAAAATACGCAAATACCATTGTTTGTGTTTGAAACTATGTCGATATGTTGCCACCAATTGATCCGTGAGATCTAGACCTCCCGTATGCTGATTATATATTTTTAAGGTTGATGGTCTATTTATGATCTTTTTCTCGCTTGAACTTTAACGCCTAGCTTTATCGACGGGCTCCTTTCTACAAAAAGTGGATGCAACCGTTTCGAAGAAATTAGGAGATATATCCACTTTACTGATGTGGATTCTGATGATGATGATATATTCTTTAAATACTATACTATCATGCTATCAGCAATTATTTTCAATCTAATAGCTTCATCAGATGTCCGGATTCTTAGATATCTTACATAGGTCATAATCAAATTAATACCCAGAAATATCTTTAATTCCCCAACCGTTAATGTTTTCCCACTGCATACAGGTTAGATTGGAATACAATTTTCTCAGCAAGTTTTTCAAGGTAAAGACAAAGGAAAATATCAATTGGATCATTATTTCTGTGCCTGTAATCAGCATCTGTACCTTTAAATTCTGGTGACATTTTACGATTAGACGTTTTAGACGGACTAAAACAGTCAACATTTATAAAACTATTTTCAATTTTCATGCTTTTAAATAAGGATCAGTTTAAAAACGAATGACACCGGTGCATGCATAGTGTGTTCATATGAGGACAACAGTAAATTTGCAATTTTTTTTCAAAAATCACAGAAACATGATTTTTTTTGTGTCAATTTGTATTTGAAAGTAATATTAAAAGAAAAAAATTACTCACCATCTCAACATTAATATTTTTCGGCAATATTTTGTTTGCTTTTAGTGAAAAATTAAAAAGTTGTTTGTTGATAGAGGCCGTAATAATAGGTCACCGTGACATATTTCAGATATACATATTTGCTCTTTGAAGTTGACTATTTTCCAAAACAAGAGAAAAGTGTTCCTTGGTGAG